GTCAGTGGTTCTGATGTGGCTTGGCTCTGTGTCCCCACCTAAATCTCACCTTGAATTGTAATAATCCCTATGTGTTATGGGAGGGACCCGGTAGGAAGTAATTGAATCATGGGGGCGGGTTTTTCCCATGCCATTCTCATGATAGTGAATAAGTCTCATGAGATCTGATGCTTTTTGTATCTTTTTGTTTGTTTGTTTTTGAGATGGAGTCTTGTTCTGTTGCCCGTGCTGGAGTGCAGTGGTACAATTTCAGCTCACAGCAACCTCTGCCTCCCAGGTTCAAGCGATTCTCCTGCCTCAGCCCCCCGAGTAGCTGGGATTACAGGTGCCTGCCACCACACCCAGCTAATTTTTGTATTTTTAGTACAGATGGGGTTTCACCATGTTGGCCAGGCTGGTCTTGAACTCCCACCTCAGGTGATCTGCCCACCTTGGCCTCCCAAAGTGCTGGGATTACAGGCATGAGCCAGCGTACCCAGCCAATCTGATGGTTTTATAAAGGGCAGGTGCCCTGCACATGCTGTCTTGCCCATTGCTATGTAAGACGTGCCTTTGCTCTTCCTTCATTCTCTGTCATGCTTGTGAGGCCTCCCCTGCTGTGTGGAACTGTGAGTCCATTAAACCTCTTTCCTTTATAAATTACCCAGTCTCAGGCATGTCTTTATTAACAGAGCGAGAGCAGACTAATATAGGCTCTCAACCTAGGGGGATTTTACCCCCCACAATTGGCAACGTCTGGAAACTTTTTTGGTTGTGAAACTAAGGAGTGGAGAGGGGGTGCTATTGGCATCAAGTACGTAGAGATCAGAGATGCTGCTACACACCCTACAATGAATAAAACAACCTCCACAACAGAGAAAGATCCAGACCTAAGATGTTACTTGTACTGAGATTGAGAAATCCTGCTGTAAGGTCTTTGGAGCCCCTACTGAGTGACAGCGGGAGCCATGCAGAGTTAGAAATGGAAGTGTTTTCAGAAAGACACAGTCACAATTGGTCTCCTTACCCTTCCACGAACTCACCACATCTGCTTTGTTCTGGTTCTTTCCTGGCTTTCTTTGGTCCACCTTGAAGGCCCATCCCAACATCATTGTCAATTGTCTTTAAAGGCCCAGCTCAAATGTCCCCTTCTGTCCGTTTTTCCCCAGCAAAGTTAGGGAGGGCAGACCTTTCTGGTCCTCCCATTGCAATCTCTTTCTATTTTGACTTGACCTGATTTGCTTTCTGCCATTTGTAATTTACTTGTTGACAAATATATTCCACCCTGCCAGGCTTTGAAATTTATCTTTCAAACCTCAGAAAATCCTTGAATCACTTACTAGTAATTGTTGTTGCATCCACTCTACTACTTTCTGCCAACTATCTCAAATTGAAAAACAAAAAAAAAGTTTAAGCAAAAATTAATGTAAACTCTGAAGGCTAAAACAGCCCTTACCCTCGGAGTTTGAATTACTGAACTTATAAAACCCCTAAGATCTTTCTTTTTTTTTTTTTCCTCCGATACGAGTCTTGCTCTGTCACCCAGGCTGGAGTACAGTGGTATGATCTTGGCTCACTGAAACCTCTGCCTCCCAGGTTCAAGTGATTCTCCTGTCTCAGCCTCCCCAGTAGCTGGGATTACAGGCACGTGCCACCACACCCGGCTAAGTTTTGTATTTTTAGTAGAGATGGGGTTTCACCATGTTGGTCAGGCTGGTCTCGAACTCCTGACCTCATGATCTGCCCATCTCAGCCTCCCAAAGTGCTGGGATTACAGGCGTGAGCCACCGTGCTCAGCTGGTCTTTATTTTTTAAGTAAAGTTTTTATTTAGCGTAGTTTGAGATTTACAATAAACTTGCAAAGACAGTAGAGAAAATTTCCATATACCACTCACTAGTTTCCCCTGTTAACATTTTACATTTCCATGGTAGGTTTCTCAAAACTAACATACCAGTATTGGTACGTTACTATTACCTAAACTCTACACTATTCAGATTTTACCAGTTTTTCCACCAATGTCCATTTTCTATTCCAGGATCTCGTCCCGGATACCACATTGCATTTACTTGTCATGTCTTTTTTAATTTCCATTTTTTATAAAGATGGAGTCTCACTATGATGTCCAGGCTGGTCTTGAACCCCTGAGCTCAACTAATCCCACCACCTTGGCATCCCAAAGTGTTGGGATTACAGGCGTGAGCCATCACACCTGGCCTGTCATGTCTCTTTAGAACTTTCTACTCCATGACAGTTTCTCAGACTTTCCTTGTTTTTGATGACTTTGACGGTTTCAAGGGATACAGGCTGAGTGTTTTGTAGACTGTCCCTCAGTTGGGATTTGCCTAATGTTTTTTGCTATTTAGACTGGGGTTGTGGGTTTTAGGAGAGAGTAGCACAGGGGAGATGTGTTTCCCCCATCACACGACTTATCTTTGGGGATGTTAAGCTTAAGTCTTGGCCAAGGCAGTATTAGGCAGACTCTCCACTGGAAAGTTCCACCCCTCTCTTCCTCCCACGCCCTACTCTTTGGAAGCAGCTCACCAAGCAGAGTCCACACTCCAGCCCAGGAGCAGGAATTAAGCTGTAGCCCCTGGAGAAAGGAGTGTCTACAGAGGGCATGTGAAATTTTTCTGTCAGGAAGATTTGTCTTTTCTATTGTGCTTATTTATTTCTTATCTTTTTGAGATGGGGCAAAAGCAGAAGACTGAGGTTCACATGAAATCTGGGACAGAAGAAAAGCCTTTGGCCATACCTAAGGTTCCTTTTCTCTTCCATGGTCCTTGGCTGGTTCCTGATGGCTTTAATTCTGTCTCTGGATGTCATGGGTATAAGAGATGCAATTAACTTCTGTCCTATGAAAGAAATTAATGGAGTTTAATTTCTTTTTTCTTTAACAGAATCATAACACTAAAATGTGGTCCTGAAGTCAGAGCATGTAACACAAGGAAAGAAGTATATGGATTTGGGGATCTCAAAGATCACAGAGGAAAACAACAAAAAGACACATATATGTGTTAAAGCTCAAAGCCAGAGCAAATGAATAATGGCTGCACTCTCTTCCAATTCAGTGTTTTTCTTTCCTGCAACAAAAAACATTTAGCAAAGTCAACGAGGTCCTGCAGATTTGGTCAGGCTACCTCTTCTCTCTCACTATTTTGGGTTTTTTTTTCGAGACAGAGTCTTACTGTGTCACCTAGGCTAGAGTGCAGTGGCACAATCACAGCTCACTGCAACATTGATCTCCTGGGCTTAAGTGATCCTCCCACCTCAGCCTCCCAAAGTGTTGTGATTACCACCATGCACCACCATGTCTGGCTAATTTTTTTATTTTTTTGTAAAGCCGAGGTCTCACTACGCTGCCCAGGCTGGTCTTGAACTCCTGGGCTCAAGCAATCCTCCCACCTCAACCTCCAGAGTAGCTGGGACTACAGGCACACACCACAACAACGAGCTAATTTTTTAAAATTATTGTTATTTGTAGAGATGGGGTCTTGCTATGTTGCCCAAGCTGGTCTCAAACTTCTGACCTCAAGAGATTCTCCCGCCTCAGCCTCCCAAACTGCTAGGATTACAGGTGTGAGTCACCACGCCTGGCTCTCTTGTTTTAATATCCCACATCACCTCCTTTTGCCCCTGACCCCAGGTTCAAGAGACTTCTCACATTCCTTGACTATTGCTGAATGCTCTCCCACCTCCCTAGAAGTACGCCCTCCTTTTCTCCTGCTAACTCATATTCACATTTGCAGTCAATCTGGCAGACGCTATTGGTTGTCTACCCCAAATTCATTTCCTCCTTGTTAATGGAATCCCAATTGTGTTTAGGAATCTACCTGCCTCCCTCACATGGCCCTGAGCTTCCTTGAGGTGGAGCCTATCTCCAGGCCCAAAGAGCAAGTCTTAGTCTGAGTGAACCAATCCTCACGGTCCTGTCCCTTTCCAGGTGACTGATTTAAGCACAGGCACATGACACAGCATTCGCCAATATCCTCTGAGAGGTGGTGTGCTGAGAAATTTCTCGGAGAAGATTTCTTCCTTCTCAAAAAAAACAAAAAAAAAGGCAAAAACCAAGAAAAACACAGACGTCTCTTCCTCTGATTATTGTTGTGTCTGCATGTGATGTGAGACGTGCTGTTGCCATCCTGTAACAAAGAAGCCAGCAAGCGGGGCAGTAACACCGGGCTGAGGGTGGCTGAGGGACGGAGGGAGCAGGCTGGCTCCTTGCTCACAGCGCAGGGCTAGAACTGCCCACTGGCAAATACCGTCCTCATTGTAATGACATAGTTGAGGTGTAAGGGGAATCCCCAAAAGAGGACCACCAACTCTCTCTGCTGAAGATGAGGAATTTGTGCCTCTCCTGGGCAGGAAGGGTGAGTAGACTGAGAGGAAAAAAGACAGAAGAGGGAAATATACAGAGATCCAGGGAGCCAGCAGTGTGAGAGGTGATGCCCCAATCTTCTTCAGTAAAGGGGCTAAACCCACTAAATGCTTTGTGTAAGTAAAGGGATGTTTTTCTTCTCCCTGAAATCATCGAGAACTGCTAGACTTTATGCCTGGAATACCGTGGGGGTGAAACAGAAACAGCATCTCTGGGCCAGGCACGGTGGCTCATGCCTGTAATCCCAGCACTTTGGGAGGCTGAGGCGGGCGGATTACCTGAGGTCAGGAGTTCAAGACCAGCCTGGCTAACATGGTGAAACCCTGTCTCTACTAAAAATACAAAAAAAATTAGCCAGGCGTGGTGGCAGGTGCCTGTAATCCCAGCTACTTAGGAGGCTGAGGCAGGAGAACTGCTTGAACCCAGGAGGCAGAAGCTGCAGTGAGCTGAAATCATACCATTGCACTTCAGCCTGGGCAACAAGAGTGAAATTCCATCTCAAATAAATACATTAAATTAAATTAAATTAAATTAAAAGAAACAGCCTCTCTGTTGGCCTCAGGAGCAGAGAGGCTGGAAGGTGTCAGCTAAGATCTGGTTTCCTGATGGTCTTCCAACAAGAGGTGTCCCATCTGTTGCCTGAAGCCAGGGTGAGGAGGAATCAGCCCAAAATGAGACAGTGTGGTGGTTAAGGATGCAGGCTTGAGGCTGGACATGGTGGCTCACGCCTGTAATCCATCCCAGCACTTTGGGAAGCCAAGGTGGGCAGATCGCCTGAGGCCAGGAGTTTGAGACAAGCTTGGCTAAGATGGTAAAACCCCATTTCTACAAAAAATACAAAAATTAGGTGTGGTGGCATGCACCTGTAATCCCAGCTACTTAGCAGGCTGAGGCATGAGAATCACTTAACCCTGGGAAGCAGAGGTTGCAGTGAGCCGAGATCATGCTTCTACACTCCAGCCTGGGCGACAACAAGACTTTGTCTCAAAAAAAAAAAAAAAAAGAATGCAGTCTTGGGAATCAGATACACCTGTAAATTTATCTGATCTATAGTTTTCTCATCAAGTACATGGAAATGCCTGCCTCAAAGGTGTGGCGTGCAGGGAGTACATAAAACTCAATTCGACGGATAAAAAAAGCAGGTGCTCTGCAGAGCACAAGGCATATGAAATAAGTTTGATAAAAATAAGCTCTTGGTAGGGATGTCTTAAAGTGATCCCTTCCTTTGTCCTTGGCTTCCTTAGTTCAACCACAAAACCTTCCGCCCTTCCATATTACTCAATGTCCTTCTTTTAGAGACAGGATCTTACTCTGTCACCCAGGCTGGGTTGCTGTGGTGCCACCAGAGCTCGCTGCAGCCTCCAACTCCTGGGCTCAAGAGATCCTCCCACCTCAGCCTCCTGAGTAACGGGGACCACAGGTGTGCACCGTCCTGCCTGGGTATTATTTTTTAAATTTTTTTGCAGCAATGAAGTCTCCCTTTGTTGCCCAGGCTAGTCTCGAACACCTGGGCTCAAGCAGTCGTCTTACCTTGGCCTCCCAAAGCAGTAGGATTATAGGTGTGAGCCACCATGCCTGGCCCCATTTGATATCTAAAAAGTAAAATATGCTGTGGAAAATGAGGACGTCTTTTATCCTACTCCCCTACTCCTCTTCCCCAGCATTTCACTACCTTGAACAGTTTCATGTGAAGAACCAGGAGTGTCTATGCCCATGCATTCTAGGCTATGAAGAGTCTGGGACATCGATTCATTCAAAGATGTTGAAAACTGCAGCACCTGGTTGCCCTTTTGGTCATTCCTTTTGCTGACTGTCTGAGAGTCCACCACATCGATGTCAGATATGGATGAAACCATGTTGATGCTTGAGTCTAGCAACACCTTTTCCTGAAAAATCTGATTTGAGGATGGGTGGCTTTGGACCCCAGAGGAAACATTATCAACGTCTATGATGATTTCATTCACGTGGTCATCGGATAGCATCTCCTGCCTCCTGCAAGCCTTCTTCCCCTCTGGGGTGGGCTTCCTGAGACTTCATACAGCAGTCACGCTGGCATAGATTGGGACTCGCAGGGAAAAAGTAATGATGATCACAAAGGGATACACCATTCACATTTTTTTTTAAATGCCAGGATGAGCTCACCAAAGCCAGCCCTACACAAATCACAACATAACTCCCTGCATCTAACCCCAGAGGAGTTTTTCTCAGGAGGAGGACTGTTTTCCTGCAGAGAATTCTGTCTTGGTAGCTAGGCAAGAAATTGAAAACAGAATCTTTCGTTTAAGACAATGGGGTTCTAGAAACAGAAGGAAGATATTTTTCTAAATGACTCATAGTCAAAGGGCAAGATTTTCTTTTTAATTTAGTGCCTCTGGCCTAGAACTTATATATATATAT